TTCCTTTTACGCGGATGACATTCTTATCGGTGCATTCAGCGACGAAGTCCCGAACATCTTTAAAAAATTGACAGTAATTTTAACCAAGCGTCAATGAAGTTGCACAAGTGGTTTCCAACTCAAAACCTCTCTTAAATGAGGTCGACTAGAATCACCACGAGGAACAATCATTGGGGCAGGTTGCGGGAGTTTTCAAAGTGTTGGGAGTCGGGACTAATGTGGAACCCTGCCAGAGACCTCTTAATCTGCCGCGCGATCTCGCTCGTCTCCGAAAACGGGGGACGCGCGGAGGAGTGCGAGAGAGTAGGCCAGCATGGTGACGTACTCTCCCCGACACGATACGGAGCGACCAGGCTCGAAGTCAGACGGCTTCGCCCGGAACGTCCGCGGCTTTCGGCTTCTCAGGGGAGAGAAACCAGTGGCTTCCACATAGAAAAGGCAATATTTGGGTGCTACGTGGAGCTGGGGTTTTCTTCTTGCCTCTGGTATTCACGTCGTGTGCCGGCGGGTCCTTTGATACTACGGTAGTCCATTGCAAGCAGACAAAAACAAGCTGGGCGTAATGTGGTTGGTGATTACTCTGCCATTTTCATCCTCGGTCTAACATTTCTTTGCTCTTCTGAAATTAAACGTAACTTTTTGAGTTAGTTGTGTAAGTAGAGCGAGAAAATAAATAGCACCACCGAGTAGAAGTGAAAGGTGGGGACGGTATTTGTTTAGTCTATAATATGCACAGCCCAATGAAATTCTCACTGATAATCAGTCGGTAAAATGTACCGCACCTTTAAGCATTGAAAGTAAACATCTTCGACAGAAATCTGTCTGGTTTGGGGAACAATTCGAAAAAAGAAAACTCAAACCAAAAGTTTAGAAACAACAGTTCCCAACGTTTCGGGGTCGACTTGACTCCTTCTTCAGGGGTGACTAAAAATGGAATGGGACAGCGCGAGCTTCGACCTCTCCTTCCTCTTCTACCGAGGTGATGTTTTGTGAACGTGACGCAGGCCATGGACGTAAATAGATGGTAAGGCCCCGAGGGACCTGTTAATGTTTCCCGGTGTATTCTGGATGTGCCACGACTCCAAGAACAGGCGTCTTCGAATATGTGGCTCCGTGTCTATCACGTGTGCGTTTCCGAAGTCGATCCGATGATCAAACACCTCACAATGTGCCGCGACGGCGCTACGCTCGCGATGGAAATTGCGCACATCGATCTGGTGCTGGCGCATGCGTTCGGGAAAAGATTTAGTTTCACCGATGTAGGCGGCGGGGCACTCCGCACACGGTATCTTATAGACCACGCCCTGTGCTTTCTCTTTTGGGAGGCGATCTTTCGGCCTTGGCATGAGCCGTCCTAATGTTGACACTGGCTTGTGCGCCACTTGGATCCCTTCTTTTCGGAGCACGCGCGCCAGTGTCTCGCTCGTCCCTTTTACATAGGGTGCGCTGATGCGCGCGATGGGGCGGGGCTGTGTGTCACCCGACGATCCATGGTTATTGCGCGTGCAGCACTGTCGACGGGCGACGCGTTGGACAAAACTCCTTGAATAGCCGTTTTTTTGGTGGTCAGCAAGTATGGTCTGATTCTCCTTTCTTCGCTCTTTCCGACGAGCAGGTGGTCGTTGCTCTAGACAAGAGAGTAGAGACCACCGACGTCTTGTGACTCGTTGGGTGGTTCGAGTCAAAATCAAGGTAGCGTCCGGTGTGTGTTTGCTTCTTGTAGACCGTGAACCCCAGCTTGTCTCCTTGCCTTTTCACCAGAGCATCGAGGAACGGCAAGACTCTATCTCTCTCGTATTCTACAGTGAACTGGATGGCCGGTTCTATGGAATTCAGGTGTGCGAGGAAGTGGTTCACCTCTGATTTCTTCACGATGCAAAAGCAATCATCTACATAGCGCACGAACTCTTTTGGCCTGTTGGCGAAAGTGCTAAGCGCTTTCTGTTCAACCACTTCCATTGTGAGGTTTGCCGTCGTGACCGAAATAGAGGCGCCCATTGCCGTTCCGCTAACTTGTTTGAAAAGCTCACCCTTGAAGCTGAAGCACGTACTGCCAAGGCAGAACTCGAGAAGGCGGCATAGCTCATCAACACTGAGGCTGGTTCTTGAGCCCAATGTTTCGTCTTTCTCGAGAACCTCTCTGGCTGCAGCAACTGCTAAGGGAACTGGCACGCTGGTAAAGAGCGACACAACGTCGAAAGACACAATGGTGTCATCATCGCTGAGTCTCACTTGCGAGTTCGGTCACGACGGCAAACCTCACAATGGAAGTGGTTGAACAGAAAGCGCTTAGCACTTTCGCCAACAGGCCAAAAGAGTTCATGCGCTATGTAGATGATTGCTTTTGCATCGTGAAGAAATCAGAGGTGAACCACTTCCTCGCACACCTGAATTCCATAGAACCGGCCATCCAGTTCACTGTAGAATACGAGAGAGATGGAGTCTTGCCGTTCCTCGATGCTCTGGTGAAAAGGCAAGGAGACAAGCTGGGGTTCACGGTCTACAGGAAGCCAACACACACCGGACGCTACCTTGATTATGACTCGAACCACCGAACGAGTCACAAGACGTCGGTGGTCTCTACTCTCTTGTCTAGAGCAACGACCACCTGCTCGTCGGAAAGAGCGAAGAAAGGAGAATCAGACCATACTTGCTGACCTCCAAAAAAACGGCTATTCAAGGAGTTTTGTCAACGCGTCGCCCGTCGACAGTGCTGCACGCGCAATAACCATGGATCGTCGGGTGACACAGAGCCCCGCCCCATCGCGCGCATCAGCGTCCCCTATGTAAAAGGGACGAGCGAGACACTGGCACGCGTGCTCCGAAAAGAAGGGATCCAAGTGGCGCACAAGCAGTGTTGTGCCCGTTACCGAAAAAAAGTAACGAAATAGCGTTACTCGTTAGTTTGGTAAAAAGTAACGCGTTATCGAGCTACGTTACTCTTTTACAAACGTAACGATATACCGTTACCGTTACTCTCAAAAATAACGAACGTTACTTTTACGTTATTTTTACGTTACTTTTCTGTTCGAGTACATATGTTTGGGAGAGATGTATGATAAGCATCCTTAACAAGCTTGGATAAAGATAAAATTTACAGAATGGTTTCAAAGTGTTTTTATGCGCGAAGCAGCTTAATTTTCGGCATGCAGATTAGGCATTGAAACTGTAAATTACCTGATTCTGTCTCCTTTAGTTGATACATATCATTCAGACCTGCTGGCCATGGCGACGGACTTTTGTTATTCATGCCCATCTTACGCGCAGAATGAGTCGAAGATGTTAGTCAATCGGCTTTTATAAACTACAGCTTGCGAACGAGGGCTGCTGGAACACAACCAGCCAACCAACACCCTTCATCTGTACGCCGGTTTTAGTAACAGTCCGGTTCACACTATTACCAGAGACTGATCTACTTCACTATCTGGAACAGGACACCGGTTAGCAGCACACTGGTTATAATCACTTGCTGCCTCTTACCAGCAGTAGCTCTTAGTTTTTCTGTGAAAAAAAAAGGTTTCGTGGTTGTAAGTTTTTTTTCAGGTTCAAAACTTTTTTTTAAATCTTTTTATCATGACCTTAGGGAATTAAAGACTAATCAAGCGAAAGATACTTCTGTGTACAAAAGTGGGTCAGGAACTTTCAGGGAGCGAGGGGGAGAGCGAGGGTAAAAATATTCCACAAAGGGTCTTTCTTTTTTTTTTTTTTTGAAAATAAAGAAGTGAGCAAATCGCTTCGCCACTAGTTGTCCACTATTGTAAACGGATGTCTCTCCACGGCTCCCCCCCCCCCCCCCCCCCCCCCCCCGCTGTCCACTTCTGCTGCACAAAGCAGGCCGGGGGGGGGGGGGGAAGAGGAGGGAGGGGAGGAGGAGGCTGTAACGCAGTCGTTCGTTCAAGCCTTGTAAGTGGTGACACTACAAAAAAAAAAAGGAGGATGAACGAAATTAGCTGGTAGCCGAAGGTTTTCTTCACCTTCGGGAAGTGAGTTTTTTTTTTTTTTTTTTTTTTTTACTTTACTGTGACGGATGCTGGTTCCGTGCAGCGATAAGCTGGTGCAGGATTTTGAGATAAGCTCGTGCAGGATTTTACCAGTTTTGGTCAAAAGTAACGAGTAACGAGTAACGAAATTTGACAGCCGATACCGTAAAAAAGTAACGGAAATACTTTACTCGTTAGTCATTCAGAATAGTAACGAGTACGTTACTGCGTTAGCGAAAAATGTAACGCGTTACCAGTAACGTCGTTACTAGTAACGCGTTACCTCCAACACTGCGCACAAGCCAGTGCCAACATTAGGACGGCTCATGCCAAGGCCGAAAGATCGCCTCCCAAAAGAGAAAGCACAGGGCGTGGTCTATAAGATACCGTGTGCGGAGTGCCCCGCCGCCTACATCGGTGAAACTAAATCTTTTCCCGAACGCATGCGCCAGCACCAGAACGATGTGCGCAATTTCGATCGCGAGCGTAGCGCCGTCGCGGAACATTGTGAGGTGTTTGATCATCGGATCGACTTCGGAAACGCACACGTGATAGACACGGAGCCACATATTCGAAGACGCCTGTTCTTGGAGTCGTGGCACATCCTGAATACACCGGGGAACATTAACAGATCCCTCGGGGCCTTACCATCTATTTACGTCCATGGCCTGCGTCACGTTCACAAAACATCACCTCGTTAGAAGAGGAAGGAGAGGTCGAAGCTGATGTTTCACAAAACATCACCTCGTTAGAAGAGGAAGGAGAGGTCGAAGCTCGCGCTGTCCCATTCCATGTTTAGTCACCCCTGAAGAAGGAGTCAAGTCGACCCCGAAACGTTGGGAACTGTTGTTTCTAAACTTTTGGTTTTAGTTTCCTTTTTTTCGGACCTTTAAGCATTGTGATCGTTTTTGTTTTGACCACTATATTTATTTAGCATTAATCAATAAGCTATTTAAAGAGGGAGTGAATATGATAACTTATTTGCTGTTTCTCTTGTCCCCATACAGAAATAAAAAAGAAATGGCTAAAAGTCAGTCCACGGATAACAGAAGTCGAAAGCTAAGCTCGAGGAAGGGCGGCATTGATCGCTGCTGGAGTGTGGCCGCCTTCGCGTTCATCATGTTTTTCATGGAGTCGGCCACCATGCGCACCACCGGGTTCTTCTACGTCGGAATAATGAAGGAGTTGGGAGTCGACCGCGGGCAAGCTTCGTGGCCCGTGAACCTCATGGGATCCGTCAACGACTTTGGAGGTATGCAAAGCAATGTCTCATTTTGTGTATAAAACTAGTCTCCGCAGTTGTCATGTGAAATGTACCAAGGAAAGAATGAAATACAAATTATATGATTGTGTTCAAGAAGATACTGTTGTAGACCATATGCAAAATTAGGTCTCCTCATCAGGCCAGTCAAAGGCGCCATATTGGAGGGTTTCTGCCATCTTCCATCTGTAGACGAGGCGCATCTGCGTTCAACTCGGTTTTTGTGGTATTGGGAAAATATACTCGTACATTCAAGGGGTTGCAATATAGCTTCGATGCAGCGAAGAAAGGCGGCCGCGAGATAGGATCAGATCAGAAAACTTTTCCTCAAAAACTATGGGTTCCGTCCCACCTCTTGACTGGAGTCATCTGGTGCCGCGAGATTCGGGAAAATGAATTGTCAGCAACGAGGCCGCAAGGCTCGTAACTAAAGCGACGAACGCGGCCATCCAAGTGAGTGAATTTTGTTATCAAAGAAGCTGTGCACAGGATTCGGTTGGACTGGCAATGCATGATTATATTTTACATATAAAAATACATATATAGAGCGTAATCCTTATAATTTATTATAAGCCCACTACATGTAGCTTGTTTTTGCCTATAGTTCATTACACTTGTAGATTTGCTCGATATTATGGCAGGCGTCATACACGACACACACACACACAACGCAAAATACAATTCAGCACAGCCGATGTTTGATCTCGAGCTGATGATCACTTATTTCTTCTGAAAAATAATAAATGTGTTAGTGTGTAATAATATGCTAGGAGGTTGGAAAATACATGTAGACGTTCTCCCGTTGTAGGATCAGTGGAAAGCGTTACAATTGGTTTAACACATCAATATACTCGAGGGGGGTTTCATTTGAAATCGAACACGCTTGTTGGGTGGGTGTTTCGATTAAAAAAAATTATATATATATATATATATATATATATATATATATATATATATATATATATATATATATATATATATATATATATATATATATATATATATATAATTTCTCCATTTCGGCAAAAAATAAAACCAGTTCTCAAAGTTAAAAAAAAAATCGATTTTCAAACAAATATTAGGTGGAGCAGGGTTAAAATCTGGTTTTTACTCCGTGATTTTTCTACCCAGTTTTGTACGCTGGTATAAATACGGAAGGCATTCAAAACTCACAGTAATATTTTGCGTACTTGTATTTTATGCCGTCTATTTTTTTAGTTTAAAGAAAAATACTTTAGTATATATGGTATTCATTTTTTACTGCGGTACAAAATGCCGAACACCGTCTCTGACAATCCGGTGGCATATTGCAGGCCTTCTATCTCATGAGTTATCATATTTGTCGCTTACAAAATTTCATGCGGGTATAGTCCTATACACGTGCTATCGACGGGCATAAGTTTAGTTTAGTTTATTTTCGCGGAATATTTTGCATAAAATCTGAAACATCGTCCAAAATTAGATTTGCCGATTTTTTTAACCCGCTTTATTGAAAAGGAATTTTTTTTTTATTTTGTTACATTTTTTCTAAAACATTGCTGCCGATGATATTAGCTTCCGACGGCCTTGATGCGATTTCCGCCTTCCTTTGTTGTGTATTCTCTAGAAGTGATCGAAATTGCACTCACGCTCTCGGAACGGCCAAACACAGCTTCCGCAAGTCGGCTTCGCTGCAAAGACTATGCTCCTTATTTTTGTGTTAAAATGCAGCGAGTAATTTGTTTTGATTGAGAAGAGTCGTGCTTGGCTACATGTTGTATCATCACAAATTTGTAATGATGGCAACTGACATTCCTTAGTCCGATCGTTAGCGGTGTATCGGATGTTCCATTATCCGGTGCGTAAAGGCAGGGCACAAAGGGCGGAGAAAACGGAGCGAGCTCTTCATGCAGCCAGACCGGGGTCATATATCTGTTTGTGCTATACGCAGCTTGTAAGGCTTAAAGGGGCGGTGCAACGATATTCAATTGGAATACTTTCACTTTACACGAGCTTACTGGCACTAGTGGGACTCAAGGACACTCGCACGCAACGCCACTGACCAAGAAACTCCTTTGTTGCGCTGTAAGTTCGAGGACAAAACCGAGTGTTTTCATTCAATCTCTCCTTCGCAAAACCTGATGACGTAGCTGGGCGGTAGCAGTACCGCCCAGTGACGATATTTCAATGCGGCTCATAGATTGGACCCGAGCATAGCATGGACACTCGATTTGGGCTCGTGATAATCGATAGCTCGAGAAGCATTCGGGTAATGTCCTGTGTCCAATCGCTGTAATGACGACAACAGCCGAACCATAACAATGTCTGGAACTCAGCGCGTGTCCTGTGCCTTGCCAACCCCAGCGCATGGCTATGATCAACATTGGCGGCATATAATCGGCTCCAGATCACGTGGCCGCTTGTTCTGGCTGCGAGTTGAGGGGGTGAACTCTGCTCGTTTTTCTTTATTGTTTTTTCTGCGACTTCGATTGAATGTGGTGAAAAACGAACGGGTATTTCACAGGTCATTAACGTCAGGGATCCATTCTAAGCGGTATTTGCGCAAAATACAAAAATCGTTGCACCGCCCCTTTAAAGCAGCTCGCCACAGTACACAATTTTCGTTGGCAAGACGGCTCCTTGGTACGGACGTGAAAGGACTTCGTTGGAAAAAAATTTAAACAATGTCAAGAAGCGTTGTGCTTTAAGACTTATCGAAGAAATTGATATATTCGGGAAGCACGGAAAAAGAATAATGGGCCTCCATAGGTGCTCGCACAGTTATATGCTCCTCTTATGTCGGGCAACCAGCGCGAGCCAGGCCAGGAACTATAGATGACATTAGCACGAAATGTACAGTCTCGGGCAATATGAAAGGCAGATACGCCGGTGCTGTTTACACAGCGGTGCTAAGTCCACCTTGGCAGGACGCGCTTCATCTTGAAGGAGAAAATATAACAAACATTTATTTCGTCCCAAACCCAAGCAATGTGTGCAAAGCGACCCTACCGTAGCCACCTAAAATAAAATCGTTAAATCGCTTTTTCATATTCCCGAAGGCTGTACAATCTTTGCATTAAGCTCGGTGCGATAAAGTAGGGAAGTTACAAGTCTACAGAGACATTACGTGACTGCTTTTGCTGCTTTCTGTGCATGTGGGAATCGTTACTTCTTGTCGTTCAGAGATATCGATGAGTCTTCAACAAAACCCAACACTTTTATTTTTAACTCCACACACTCGTTCAGACAGAAGGGCCATAGTCTCGGGTTCACCGCTCGCTCGTTTTGGCTCCAGCTTTCATTCTGTCCGTCTCGACTTACCACGCTGTTGAATTTCTCGGCTGCGTCCGAACGCTGCGGTATACGAAGTTCAGCTCGCCCCTGCGCTCGATCGTCTCTACAAAGACAAGCCGATGCCGTTGTCAAAACGAGAACTGGACTATTTAATGCAGAGCAAAATACCGTTTTACAAATTCATCCCAAATATAATATATTACCCCTATTTAATAAAAGTCACTATTTATCGCCGATTGGAGATTTTGTTCTGTAAAAAATTGTCTTCGCTTCATGTAAACTCAGTCCGTTTGCTCTGCTTTTTTCTGTAACCAGCTTTTCCTTCAGAGAGAGGGGCATGTGGTATTACATATTTTTGATATACACACTCCCTATAAAGAACAGGCACTTACATGGTTATTTGATAGCACGCGACAAGACACATCATGGATTGGCGGCCCGTGTCGGGTACTTCAGGGGTGTAACGGAGGCGGGACTATAGCGCGAGGGGCCAGGCGTGCTCTACGTGCCTTACTAGCACAAAGAGCTATATGACTCCAGTCCGGCTACATGAAGAGCTCGCTGCGCTTTATCCGCCCTTTGTGCCCTGCTTTACACAGCGGGTAATGGAACATCCGCTGCACCCCTAACGATCGGAGCAAGGAATGTCAGTTGCCACTTTTACAAAATTAAGAAAATACAATATGTAGTCAAGCACAAGTGTTCTCAATCGAAATAAATTTACTCGCTGCATTTTAACACAAAAATAACCAGTATAGTTTTTGCAGTGAAGCCGACCTGCGGAAGCTGCGTTTGGCCGTTCCGAAAACGTGGGTGCGATTTCGGTCACTTCCAGAGAAACTTCAACAATAAAGGGGGAAATCGCATTAAGCCAATTGAAAGTTAATGTGATCGAAAACAATAATGAAAACAAAAATGAACGAAATAAACGTTTTTTTTTTTTTCGATAAAGTGGGTTTAACATATAGGTAAATCTCATTTTCGACGAAATTTCAGATCTTATATCAAATATTGCGTGAACTTAAACTAAACTTACGCCCGTCGATAGCCCATTTATAGGACTACACTCGCATAGTATTTGGTAGTGATGGACCGAATCTGCCGAACTTCAGATTCGGCAAAGTTCGGCAAATGCCGAACTTTTGAAGGAAAGTTCGGCAAAGATTGAGCAAAAGTTCGGCATACGTCTACGCACGGGCGAGAACGCGACGGGACCGAGGATCGCAAATGGAAGCAGCGCGTTCGTGCGGTTACCATCGTACAGTGTAATACTACCAGCGGTTACGGCGAGGTACGGAGTAGGCGACGTGGTAACTGTGTGCTTGTCAGCCTTTGTAAGTGTGATTCTCTTCAAATTCTCTGTCTCAAGAACAAAACATCGACCAGAAATGGACGCAGAAATGCCGCACTCCACTGCGCAAGTGACGAATGATGCGGTACATTCAGGATAACATGATTTTCATTTGATCTTTCTAGTGATGCAGCGAGGTAGGTGCAAGATCGACGGACAAGTACTTTAAAGCATTCCTCGCCATTCTAGCAATCCTGTTTTCGGCTCACAAGTCGTTTGTGACAGAACAAAATAATATTGCTTTCAGTTAGCGTTATTTCGCGGTTTTCATCTTTCCGCATGAAACGAAACACAAAACTATCATGCTTTACTTTGCACACCCGACATTCCTAACTCTTCCCATCTTCCTAAACGTCTAATGTGTCCTAACATCGGAAACCGGCGTTTTAAAAGTTAAAAACGAGACGTTGCGAATATGAGACGCACACTTTCATGCAAAGCTGGCGTCAAGGACCCAAATCGAAGAACATGCATAGTTACAATATTATTGTTATCTGAGGCTCAACAGCCGTTGCATTTATTGTCGCGCACGAAATGGTGACTCGCAGATGAATGGATGGATGGATGGTAATGGCTATACCCTTTGTAACGGGCGGCAGCTTGCGCCACCTAGCCTAACATTCCGTCATCCTTTTTTTTTCTTAATTTGTATGAATTTTGTTACAACAGACCCCCCTTTCTTTTAAATTGAATTTATTTCTTATTTTATCTGTATTTTCTTTTTTTTATCCTTCCCTAGATCTTTTCCACCAATCTTCCAATCTCCCCTTAGTTACCGCAATTCTTTCCGTATTCATTCGTTCATCCATGTCCGGAAAACCCAGTGCCCCCTCCAAATCGGTAGTCATTTCCCCCAACAGGGTGGGACGAAGCCCCGTGCACCTTAAAATTACATGATCTATAGTTTCCCTTTCGCGGTTGCATACGCACAGAGTGTCTACTTCCTTGAATTTAGCCCTATAGGTTTTCGTTCGTAGCACCCCCGTTCTAGCTTCAAACAACAAAGAGCTCCCCACTGAATTATCATACAGCTGTTCCTTCTTCATTTCTTGTTTTTGTGCCCTGTATATTGTTAAAGCTCATTTCCCCTGCAATCTCTCTTCCCACAATTTCCTCTCTGTTTCCTTTTCTCCCTTTTCTACTGATATGCTCTGATCGGCTCCATCTCGTTGAACGTATTTAAATCTCAGCTTGCGGGTTCGGTTTGTCCACTTAGCGTTTAGACTTTTCAGATATAAATACTTGTACACTTTCGCTGCCCACCGTGTATCCTCAATTTCAGCTAGTCTTTGTTCAAATTTTACTTTACTGATCGCTTCCCTACTCTCGAAAAATGCCCAACCCATATCCCCATGTACTCCCTCATTTGGTGTATTCCCATGTGCCCCCCATGCCAACCTACCCACACTCCTTTGCTGTATCTCTAAACCTGCCTGGATTTCTGACCTCATACACAATACCGCATTCCCAAATGACAGTCCTGGCACCATGACTCCCTTCCATACACCGCTAACGACTTCCTATCTATTATAGTTCCATAGTGCCCTGTGTTTTATGATAGCCGAATTTCGCTTCCCTTCCTTATTGCAATATCTTCATGGTCTTTTATATACCGTCTCCCTTCACTTAACCATACTCCCAGATATTTGTACTCTTCTACGGGTTCTTTCAATGTATCCTGTATCTCCAGGGGCCCCCCTTCTCGTCGTTGAAATATAGAACACAGTGTTACTGCCTTTTTTTCAATAACACACACTTGCAGGTTTGCGCTGCTGAGGACTCAAAACCGAAACTCGCGCATCGTGACTGCGCTGACTGCACCCGCTACTGTCCAACCCCGTTGTCACACATCCCCTGCAGAAAGTCGTTTAAAAATTACCAGCAACGTACAAAAATGACACTGAAACTATAAGTTTGTAGAATATCGCCTTATTTAGTAATAACTGCCTCAGTATATGCATTAAACAAAAACAAAAAAAAAAACTATGCACTTTTTTTGCACGTTAAACGATATATCACCTTTTAGGCCTGGTAACAATGTATTTTTGCCGTATCTTTGCCGAATCTTTGCCGAATCTTTTGAAAAGTTCGGCGAAAATTCAGCTTTGCCGAATCCTTAGATTCGGCGCCGAAATTTTGATTCGGCAAAAGTTTGGCCCATCACTAGTACTTGGTAAGCGACAAATATAATACCTAATGAGATACAAGGCTTTCAATAGGCCACCGGATTGTCAAAGAGACAATGTTTGCCATTTTTTTACATTAGTAGAAAAAAAGTATCTTTAGCAAAAAAATATTCGGTAAAGTATACAAGCAAACAATAAATTACTGTGAGTTTTGTATGCTTTCCGTATTCATACCAGCGTACAGAACTGGGTAGAAAAATCACGGAGTAAAAAACAGATTTTCACCCTGCTCCACTTAATATTTTTTTGTGAAGCAAAACAATTTTCTAAAAAATTCTGAAAAGTGGGTTTGTTCTTTAAAGAAATCGGGCAATTACATGTCGTTTTTGTTTTTAATTGAAAGATCCATTCCAACAAGCGTGTTTTATTTCAAATGAAACCACCTACGACTGGACTCGTAACCAAACTTAAACTCCAAAATAATTGTGTAGAGCGCAGCATTTAGGCTCCCGTTTCCGAGTACAGCGGCGTCGGCGTCGCCATCGGCGTAAGTGCGCTTGTTGCATTATGGGACATCAGAGACCTACACACCTGCTCAACTTCCCGCTAAATTTAGCGGGGGAACTAAATTGGTGTTCCTGTGACATCCAATATTGAAACTGCGCATCAAGTTTCCCTGCAAAATTCAGCGGGAAATCTGCCGTCAAATGGCCTCATCACAAATTCAGTTTCCCCGCTAAAGTTAGTGGGGAATTGAATCGGTTTATACCGCCGTCAGCGTAACCGCGCGCGTTGTATTATGGGATGTCATAGACTTATACATTAATTCAGTTCTCCGCTAAATTTAGAGAAGAAGCTAAATTGGTTTTAGGTCATGTGACGTTAGTTTTCCTGCTAAATCTAGCGGAGAAATCGAATATGTGTAGGTCATATGAGATTATTTTCCCTGCTAAATTTAGCGGGAAAACTGAATTGGTGTCGACGTCACGTGACACCAATTTTCTAGTTAAATCTAGCGGGAAACTGAATTCGTGTGGTGTTGAAAATCAAAACATCAATATATATATATATATATTTTTCTTTCAGAAATTTGCCACCACGAAAGATCGCAAAAACAAATTTTTCAAGAGCTGCGCTCTAATTTCGCATGACAAAGAAGCCTAAATGTCTGTGTAATTTTGTTCGTCAAGTTATAAAATATTCAAGTTTGGTCCTCATTTATTTTTTAATATGAAAGGCTCGTTTGGCAACACTGAAATAGTGACAAGGAGAAGTTGTGTTTAGCTAGTAGAACTTGCTCACATTGTAAGTTGATTGCAGAGTGGATTAAATATCCCAGAAAGAGTTAGCGCGGAAGACAATGGAAACAAGAATACTGAACTTTCCTTTCCGTACCTTTTCATCTAAAGAAACGTCACTGGGAAGTAGCGCTCGTACTGTACAATATTCTACTAGTCATATGCTTACCGCTATAACTGTTTTGAGGGACTCTTTCCAACGGATTACATGAAGCTTGATGATGTGAAATTAATGCTCTGAAGTCTTGAAGAGCCCAAAAAAGCATAAGATACTCTGTCTTTTATACAACCTGTTCGACCTGCAAGTTTTACAACAACACCACGACGCCACAAGAACGCGCGGAGACACTTAAATGTTCATATTGCTGTGTTTTTTGTTTTTTTTTGTAGTAACTATTTTGTATTGGATATAAAAAGTATGTGCCGGGAAGAGTAAACACCGGGTATTCCGAAAATGTAGTTAGTGCTTGGGTAGCTGAACGACCGCCGGAGCTGCCCCTTAAGTCTACTTCAAGTAACTTCGAGTAGAGCGGCCGCGCCCCAACGTAAAAGGCTTCAGGTATATTCTGGACGCTGGTGCGTTCAGCCCGTGCAATCTTGCCTTGCATAACCTTGCGTGACTTGCGCACGCTGTACTGTCACTTCTTGTATAAATTGGAACGTCCAAGCGCATGTTTCCAATCCTCGTTTCAGGTCTGGTGTCGGGTCCATTGTCCCAAAGCTTTAGTACTGTCCCAGTTCTACTAGCCGGAACTTTGATAGCCTCCGGTGGAGTGATGGCCTCAAGTTTCGCTCCAGATATCACGTGGATGTCCCTCACGTTGGGTGTAGCGCACGGTGAGCGTTGGCTGCATAAATGTCGTCGTATGCCCTTTTTATAACATTTTTTGAAAACGTGTGTAATGTGTAAATTGTGGTACTAACTTATAGTTGGTTACGCTCTCCTGTTTTCAGAACTAACTACGCTATTTACTGCAAACTGAAAAAAATTATCGTTTTAGTTAGGCTTTTACCGCGTAACAAGTTATGCTGGTGGCTTATTGTTTTATATGAAAGGAATACATTGTGCGTTGTGCACACACGAGAATAAACAGGGAAGAATTGAAAAGTATGCTCTTGGAGGCAACGGCAGTAGACACGAAGGAAAGCATAAAACCTATCCCGTATGGACATTGTTTATATTGTGAGCGATGGAAATTAAAGCAGGACAAACTACAGCGAGCAGTGTGAGGACCAGGAAAAGATGAGGAAAAAGAAGTGGCGTAAATTAGAGATGAAATATAGGCAAAACGACGTACAAGGATCTGTAACAATATTTAAACAAGACCTTTTAGTCTTTTGGCGTGTTACCAAGATAAGCCTTATTTTTCAAGGTCAACCCCACGTTATTACCCTGGATGTGGTCTTCATAGCTTCTCTAGGCAATGTTTGTTCTGAAAGTTCCACGACGTCCGTGTCTGTTGTGTTTTGTATTTGTCCCTTTTCAATAGCCGCGTTCTGCTCCTCGCATTTACGAAAATTTAAATAACCAGGAAGATATGCTTCCTGCAGTACATGCCATTTGGCTGGCTAATTGATAGAATCCGAAAAACAGAAGAATAGCGCGAAACACACGCGGAGAAGTAAAATATAGTAGTTCTTGAAACATATCTTTTTGCTTTCTGTACGACATATGTTTACTAGCTTCATGTCGACCAACAGTTGCTCTGACAAAAGAAGGAAAAAGCAGAGTTACTTTTGACGAAAAATGAATCGCTACCGTTGAGGCTTTTACAAAGGGTAGTTACATTAGGGCTACTACCGATTAATGGAGAATTTGGTTTAGGTGTTTATGTCTGCTATTTTATCATGTCCGAACGAAACGCTGAATATTATTCACAATGTAGGCGTGACTTGCTAGTAGAACAATCTAAGCAGAGCTGATATCGTTTAATGATTCTTCGCCAAATGAGAAGTCATTCGATCGAAACATAAACACGACGAAATTCCGAACACTTCATTTATTTGTGTCTCAATGAGCTTTCAACGATCACTAGTGTGTTTGGGAGCTTAAGAATCATCACTTATACTGCTAGAAACTTTAAATTTGATGAATGCCAGTTTAGCCTAAACCAAACAAAGAAGTACGGGAACATAGAATGTAAGAGAGATATGCCAAGCAAAACTTCTAAATGTAAAGGCATGTGAATGAAGTAAATCACAAAGTAATATTATCAAGTGTTAGATTGAAGATCAAAAGTATTTGATCAACAGGCTTCTTTCCAATGATGTTTGGTTCTTAGTTTTACTGAAATGAGCATAAAACAGAGTTTTCTGGTATTCAATGTAGCCGTGCGTCTTGACAAACTTACCGGTCGTCAGAATAAAATACACACAAACGCGACAATATTGAGGGAGATCTTAACGCATACATACATAGCAAAATAAGAGTCATTGCGCAGGGGAACTGGTGTGGCAAGGTTACTAAAACTGCGTCAACATAGAACGCATAAAATAGCAAGCCAGACAACGTTGTTGTCTTGTCTTCCTTTTTTGTGTCTCGGGTGTCTCAGGTTTTCTTTTTTTTTTTTAATAACTACGTGCTTAATAGCGGATTCTTGAAAATACATTCATGAAATCGTAATTTTTTTTACAGGATTTGGTCTTGGAATGATGATCACAATGCTTCAAGTGCTGATAAGCATGTACTTCAAGCGCTATCGTGGCGTCGCGAACGGCATCATGTTCGCCGGTTCGACATTTTCGTCCTTCGTATTTCCAAGACTTTTGCTGTTTCTCACGGAAATATACAACTTTCGAAATTGCCTGCTTTTGCTTGGGGCCATACTCATGAACATGACCGCTGTCGGTCTGTTGTTCAGGGAACCCAAATGGGCAAAAAAGCTGCCTCCCGAACGACGAATGTCATTTATTCCAGAAGCGGTAGTATACAACGACGAGAGTGAGTTTTCAGCGCCACAAACCGACATATCTGAGAACGATCACAAGCAGTCGTCACTAAAGGTTATTGCACATCAAGTAACTGAGGTTTTCAAATCCATTATGTTTTACGTCCTTCTGATATCTTGGCTGGTGCTGTGCTACGACTTCGACATCTTCTTTTCCACTATAATCGATTTTGCAATAGATACAGGAGTACTGCTTTCTGACGCGATGTCACTCATTCCATATTTTTCGATAACGGACCTAATTGGAAGAATTGTCTTACCCTTGCTCGCTGACAGAAAATACGTGCGTCGAAGCACATTGTCATTGCTTAATTTCTTATTCCTGGGCACAGGAATGGCGGTGCTTCCTCTAGTGACATCGTATGCGTCTTTGTTGGCGGTCTGTCTTTTCATATCTTTCTTCATGGGAAGTGCAGTCACGATGCATTGTGTATTGATGGCAGACCACATCGGGCTGGAGCGCCTAGCCGTGGCGTACAGCATTATGGGTGCCCTCTGCGGTCCAGCATTGATGGGAAAAGCTCCATTTGTTGGTAAGTACTTTGCGGGAAAATATCTTTAACCACACAAAGTAGAATCTTTTTAGAGCGCAGCTCTTAGGCGCCCGTTTCCGGGTTGAGCGGCGTAGGCGTTGGCGCAACCGCGCGTTGCATTATGGGACGTTTTCCACAATTACGTCACACGTGACGTCACATATGCGACGTCCAGACGGTAAAATTTTCCTGCTGAATTTGGAGGGAAACCTTTTCGCAAAATTTGCCGGAAAATTTTTCCGCCAAATTTAGCGGGGAAATTTTTCCGTTAAATTTAGCGCAAAAATTTCCCGCCAATTTCAGCGAAAATATTTAGCAGGAAATCGTTTACTCTCGTGACGTCACACGTAACGTCACTTGACGTCATGCTAAGTTTAACGGGGCTATTGACGTCACGTGACCTCAACACCAATTCAGTTTCTCCGCTAAATTTAGCGGGAAAATGTTTGCCAAATTTCCCCTTTATATTTTTTGCCAAATATAACGGGAGAATGTTAGTATATTTTCCGCTAAATTTAGGGAGAATATTTCCCCGATGAATTTAGAGGGGAAATTTTCCCTTAATTTAACAGGGAATTTAGCGCAAAATTCCCGCTAAATGAGAAGGTAGCAGGAGAGGAGGAGGGGACGGTACGGAAGGGGAGCAGGGACATACCCTGCCCTCCATACCCTCCCCTCCTCTTCCTCAAGGGCTGCGCTCTAATTCAGGATTATGGAGAATTGTAAACCTCTTTCATTTTTTTAAATATTTGTTGACCATTCAAGACCCTTCGCTTTCGAAAACTGAACATGTGAGATGCGGTGTCAGCTGCTGCTCGGTTATAAAACGAGCCTGCTTACACGCGGTTTTCTACAACTTTTTTTCACGTAAACGTTATCTCGAATTGGGGGTTACTGTTGTTTGCTTACGTCCCTAGGCTCATTGCCAAAGAAATCGTGATTAAATTAAACTCCATATCAATTCCGGCCGGCAAGTTTGATCACCCGAGCACTTACGCAGCTCAGTTGATCATTCACGGTGGTCAATTTCAAAAACGAGTAACGGCTCTAACCCTTTTACTACCGCTCCCGAGATAACTCGACACATTATCCAGGCACGCCCCCTGCCACTCCCGATGCAACTCATGAAAAACAAAATATTGCGGGCATGTCGCGCCATCTATGGAGAGTGCACCTAAACACATGTAAGTTGTAGGTTAAATTTTAAACAGATGGAGCGCATGGCCGCTTTGCAGCTTTGCTTCGTCGCCGTCTCAGCAGCGCGGCAGCAAATGCATAGCTATACTTTGTTTCAGCTTCGGTTCAGACGCAGCCAAAGCTACAAGCGCGAGCTCCGGGCTTTCAGCATCCCTGCCAAGCACGCGCGCTCCTGCAGTGCAAGCACTGTTCTGGGCCACATGCTCGCGCTTGTAGCATCGGTTGCGTCTGGACCGAAGCTGAAACGAAGTATAGTCAGCGTGCTAGGTGCACCCGCGCTTTGACGGACGGGCAAATCCAGGAACTGTTGATTAATTCAGACTCAGATGAAAGTGATAACGATGATGAAGCCCAGCTAAGTGACTTGTCTAGCGACGACAGTGAGGAAGAGCCCCTGCCTACGAAGATTTAGCGGAAAAGAAAACTTGACGAGAGGAATTTCTGTTGGAAAAAGAAAGAGTTCAACCTTCAAGAGCACAGTTTTGACCCATCATCTTCAGGAACATGCAATGTCATCACAGCGGCGTCCTGTGAGCTCGATGTTTTTGAAAGTTTGTTTACGCCGGACATTCTGGACACAATGGTGGATCAAATGAACATTTTCCAGAGCCAAGTTAGGATGTCCAAAGTCACCAGGCTCGATCTAAAATGGACCACAAAAATCGACTCCTGCACTACACTTTTCGTCAAAGGTGTATTTCACAGGTTGATTTTTTCTTGTAAAATTACAAAGTGTATCTTTCTTCCTGTAAGAAATATGGCCAAGAAACTTTCCAGGGTAAACGGTGGGCGGCGACGCAGACGACCAAGTCGAGTTGCAGGGTGTGACGGGCGCGCGTGTTAATTGATGGCGTCGGGAGCAGCGTCCGAAGGTGTAGCCGACCAGCGAAATAAAGCAGACGACACGCAGGCGAAATCTGTTGGCAGCAAACGCGCCGTCGTTATGCAAATGCGTTTTTTTACTATAAGTTCTGATTTTATTGTCCGCATTTATTTTTAAACCAAAGTTACATTACATAAAGATTATGTTCATTATAATAAATCACGGTGGTTGTTAGCAGTCTCGATAAAGAGGTAGCGCCATTTATCGATACGAACGCGAAACGCGTAACCCCACTCGACTTGGTCGTCTGCGTTGCCGCCTTCCATTGACCCAGGCAGGTTTCTTGGCCCTATTTTTTTACAGAAAGGGAACTGCGCTTTGTAATTTTACAAGAAAAAAAGCCGACCTGTGAAATACACTTTTGACGAAAAGTTTAGATTGTTAAGTGCAGGCGTCGATTTTTGCAGTCCATTTGAGATCGAACCTGGTGACTTGTGACACCCTATACTTGTTGCGCTGACGTCGGCTTCCGGATTCCGTATACACCGGTAAAAAGATCGGACTCTACGTGAGTTATACGCATTTCTTGCTGTCATAATGCTCATGGCACATGCAAAAAGGGCACCATTCCCGAGTATTGGTCCATGGATCCCCTCTTGAGCACACCCGCATTCTCCAAGTTGATGAGTCGGAATCGCTTCCTACTCTTACTGGGGTTTCTTCATTTCTCCGATAATGAACATCAGATTTATGGCCAAGGCTGCACAAGGTGCGCTCGGTCCTCTCGACCCTTCGGAAAAACTATCGTGAGTCCCTATCTCCCTTGCAGGATCTTTGAATTGACGAGAGCCTGCTGTTGTTCAAAGGGCGATTGGCATTCCAACAATGCATCCCGTTAAAACGAAGCAGGTTTGGCCTGAACTCTTTCGTAATCTGTGACGTAAAGACAGGGTTAGTGCTGGGCATTGTGACACCGGATCCTCAACTGAAATCAACGACTCCGAGAGGAAATATCGAGCATCAGTTGTTCTCACTTTGCTGGACAAGTACCTGGACAAGAAGCACGTCCTCTGGGTTGATAATTGGTACACCAGTCCGGCCCTGTTCGCCTACCTTTTCGAAAAAAGAAGACCAATGCCTGCGGTACAGTGTAGAAGAACAGGAAGGGTGTCCAACGCGAAGACAAAAAAACTGCAGGAAGGGAGAACCAGCCAGATATGCAATGACCAGATTCTCTTCGTCCGCTGGAATGACAAACGTTAAGTGCACAAGCTCACAACGAAGCATAAGGGTGGCATGGTAGAGTCGGCGAGGTTAGACAAAAAGACGATTGAGAGAAAAAAAAAAAGACCCATGTGCGTCGCCGAGTACAACTTCTGCATGGGAGCTGTGGACAAAATAGATGTGGTTGTGATTGTGACAGGTTGTCACAAGAAAGTTCATTAAGTGATACAAAAAGTACTTCTTTCACATCTTGGACATCACTGTCCTGAACAGCAATATACTGCAAATGACAGCGTCCGCTAAAAATGGAGCATGGCATGCTTTAGGCTTGAACTAGTCTGTAAGATAATCGAAAAGTACCACGAGGGAAGCTCCAAGCCAAAGGGAGGACGCCCATCAAAGGGTGAAGATCCAACGCGGCTGACAGCGTGCCACTTTCTGTCTCAAAGACCACCGACCGCAGGGAAATATAACCCAAAACGGGTCTGCAATGTCTGTGCCCACACGCAGATCCGACCAAAGTGGCGAAGGGAATTTCGCTATGTGCCTTCTAGCTGCCAAGTGCCGCTTTGTGTGGTTCCTTGTTTTGAAGAGTTTAACACTATACATCGTCGCACCTTACGATGGACTAAAGCCAGAAGCTACGAACCGCCAAATCCAATCACAAGTCACTCAGACATTGCGTGGTATTTCGCTTCGATGCACGTATCGGTGCCCGCGTCTCGGATCACTGATGGGAATGGGCGTACAGTGGTTCGGATCGAGCAATGAGTGACTCATTAATTTTACATTGCAAGGAAAGCCACGACATACAGGCTCTTTGCAGTGTTCAAGCTATAGAAATGATGCAGCGCAATTTTGATAGGAAGCATTATTCGTCCATCCTTAATCAATGTTGATCATGTCATAGTTTAGCGTGGAGTGTGATTGGACCTCGCGGCCTGTAGCTTTGGCCTTTAGTCCATCGTAGGATGAGACGAAGTATAGAAGAGTTTTCTAAACATCTGGTCATCCTAACTAGCAGCTAATTTTGTAGTTAATTGTTAAGTGTTCATTCTTCGTTTGGACAATTTGGACAATATAATCCTGGATAAAAATATTTACATGTCCTGCAGAGCATCGAAGTACATTACTAGCATGAAATTTGCACTGAAACAGCCAGCGAAAAAAGGCCGGCAGGGGGTGAGGAGCACTCGGAACAAAAACCCGACAGTATAAGGCTTAAGAGAGCCCACATAAGAAAATATTCTATCCGTTTGCGGTCAAACGGGCAGTTCAGGTTTTTTTGTGGGCCTGATTCCGCGAAGGTCGTAGCGCGGTTCGGAGGATGCTTAGAAATGGCAGTAGGAGCTTCGAATATCAACATCATTTTAGAAAAATTCGATCCGCCGAAACCCCGAAATAAGGGCCACCTCCAAGTTAAAGCAGAAATGAAATGTATTGCATAATGTTTACGTAAAAGCAGTATAAACGTCGCGCGCCTTTACTGGCAGCTGCTCATAAAAATATATCACACTTTGATTGATATTGCAGGGTATTTCCGCGATGACATTGGATCCTATGACCTGATGTTCTGGATTCTAGGAGCTTTATCAATACTGGTCAGCAGCCTCTGGCTTCTGGTGCTGTGCTTCGAAGAACGCAAGAAGAAAAAATGGGAGTTGGACATATTGCACAACATGCCCTGCACACATCACATGTGAACACATTTTTTTTTAAATTTCTGTGTACATATAGCCTCACAAAATAAAGTATGCTTACAATTTCAATCAGGTGGTAATATATTTATGAACCAGTGTTGCGGAGTTACAACTCCGGAGCCGGAATGATTCCGGAATTATTCCGGACTTTCGCGACTCCGGAATGGAACGGGAATGGAATGGGAATGGAATTATAAATCACTTCTTCCCGGAATGGAGTGGGAATGAAATAGGCTCAGTTATTATGGGCGCTGTGCCGATTTTTATATAGGGCCTGCGGACTGACGGCGCAATTCACTAGCGGATGGTAAGTGGCTCTTGAAACAGCATCATTCCACGGTAGATGACTGACGGCTTCATTGTTTCACTGGCCTAGCTATGCTGCTTAGAGGATGAAAATGGCGCACCCTCGGTGAAGCAGAGAAAACTGAATAGTTGTAGATGGACAAGATGTCGTTCCTGGCGCCGCGAGACGCGACAAAGCGGATGTTGTAATCGTACGCGATTAGCATGCAGCTTTCAACAACGGTGTCGAACCGAACCCGAACCGAGAACCGGAGCCAAACTGTTCTTTCTAACTGAACCGGAACAAAACTGTAACCAAAATTAATCATTCGATGTTGAACCCTAACCGGAACAGAACCATAATTTCATCTGGCGGTTATCAGTTCATTAATTGGCATCGGTTGGGGGTAATAAAACATGCGCAGCGCCTTTTTGCGGGTTGTGGCGCGAAGTCAATTAAGTATTCGCGACGGTGGCGTCAACGTCTTAGTTTTACTAAACAAATGGCAGCGACAATATGAAGACGGCTCGGTGATAATGAAAAAATAAGTTTATTTCCCGTCTGTGTGTAGCACGAATTGGAGTCTGCAAGTCGGCGTTGAGGAGTACACTTCTATACTTTGTTTCACCAGACGATGGACCGCCAGAGCTACGGGCCACCGGAGCCAATGCATAGCCCGAAGAGTGTCACCGCTGCTTCCCGTTAGGTGGAGCGACACGGGGAGCGCGAAGGTATGACGCAAGCTCAGGGGCGGATTTATGGGTCAGGACTCGGAGGAGCGGTAGCATGCAGCTGGCGGGTGGGGGGAGTTTCCTGCGATATGACATTACGGACAAAACGTTGCTTAGATCTACTTTCTTGACCAATATATGCTTTGCCACCAAAAACTAAACTTTTGGATGGTGTATAGAAATGATTTTCTTAAAACAAAGTTAACTTTGGGGAGGGGGGGGGGGGGTGGCCTGCCCCCCCCCCCTGCCGTCCCTCTCCCTTAAATCCGCCCCAGGACAAGCTACGCACTATGACTGTGATCGTGTAGCTCGTAGCGTCCACCGCGGTACATCATCAGTTGAAACGTTTTTTTTTATGTATATATTTAACTATGCCGAGAGGATAAATAGCTATTCTGTGTGTGTATGTTTGCGTGCGTGCCTGTGTGTGTATGTGTATATGTGTGCGTGTGCGAGTGTGTTTTCTTTCCTTCTTCTAATCAGTATTCCTAAAGGGAAAGAAAGCGAACATGAGTGTCAAAATACAAAAAGAAATTACACGAGGACATTTAAGACTGCTTACGCTTAGAAATTCGAAAGCAATCGTACACGCAGCTTCCTATAATCAGCGCGCCAGCTGTCCTCCGCAGAAGCCGGCCGGGCCTCTGCGGCCGCGCGCGCGCCACCCTCTCCCTTTTATTAGCGCGCGGGCCGCAGCACCAGGAAGAGGGCATCTCTGTGGGAGCGAATGAGAATTTATTGATCGTTTCGCTCAACCGGAATTTAAGTGCCGATTTTTCGCGGTTACAGACAACGCCGGCTGCGCTCCATGGGACCAGTTATTGCTTTCGCATTAAAAACAAAAAGCTGACGGCTGTCGCCACGTTTGTTCCGTGCGGTGGCAAAATCTGGAGGCACCAAGAGGCGAGACCGCGACAAGCGAGACACTCTGGCGTCGGTTGACGGAACGTCAGTCGCCCAGAGTTCTGGACGCTGCCTTACGAAACTTTTTAACTGTGTTTTCTAGACAGAGCCAGTTGCCTGTAGCCTTTTCTGTCTCTTTTTTTTAATCGGTTTTCGAACGGCCTTCACCCTCTTTCTTCTCTTCAACTTAGTCGTTCGAGCGAGTCGTTTGGGCGTGCGGTGGGTGTAGTTTGCAGTTTCGATATGGATGAGCAATGTACAGGCGTGCGGTCGTGCATCGGTACTCCGCGATGCTCGTTAAAAAACTCAGGCTGGCAGTCGTACTGCGCTGTCTAAATTGCTCATCCACAGCGGGTAACTATGTCGCCATACCCTGGCAGATTTGCTGTCAAAACAACTCGCAATTAATGTTTTGTCTGTGTAAGTAGTTTGCGTGTGCGGTGCGTGCTATCGTAACGGTGACACTCTGCGCGCTGGCTGACGGACTACACATGTCAGTACTGGATTTTGGTAGTGTTTCCAAGCGCCTGTATTACCGCTTCATTTTATAGAACGGTTTTTGCATTAAAGATTCATGATCACAAAACAAAATTAAGCATATATTTTGCTTTGCTGTCCTCGTTTCCGCAGAAAATCTTACGATGACAATTTATTGTAATAAAGATGTCGTCTTGTTGAGCTCACCTTTCCTTCTTACCGACTGGAAGCTGTGGACGTTGTTTTTTTTCAAGAACCGGTTTGAACTAGATCGCGCTTGGCAGAACCGGTAACCAAACCGTTTTTTTTTTCAAAAGTATCACTTAAACAAAACCGAACAGAAACAAAATGCAAAAAAAAAATAATAACTCAAATTTTTTCACTGAAAGTCAGGCTTTTGACTTTCTACCTTCCTTTTTTTTGGGCCACTGAACGTTGCGCTAATAGTAAAATCACAATCAAAAATGATTTATCCCAACCCGAAATTCGTTTCATGGGCCCTTTAACGAGAGCTCGCTTTCGGGTAAATGAAAAATATAATAAAATGCAAAAATATTTATATATTGATTACACGTCTAGCATATTTTCAAAAGTAAACTACCATCATAATTTTACTTTAAACATCACACAGTGCCTTCAATCGGAAACTTAATAGTTTTAAGCTAAATGTACAGGAAGCCTTAATTAAAGCAATTCTTTTGAAATTAATGTCAATCTCAACGCTGGTATATACTAATCATGATGTAGAAAACCCGAGACTGTGGTAAAAGCAGAGAAACTTGGTCGAAAAAGAAAGACAGGGGAAAATTACGTCTCAATTGAGATGTAGTTTTCCCCTGTCTTTCTTCGTCGACCAAGTTTTTCTGCTTTTACCACAGTCTCGGGTTTTCTACATGATGATCAATATCCACCAGCTCGCCTGCGCACTCACTGTTTTTTCATTGGTATATACTAGTTAGATTATTATTGGTAAATCACAATAAATACTGCTTGTAACCCGGATCTCAACGTGTGATCCAAACGTCAGCCGAACACCTTGCAACGGGAGAGACAGCCGCGACTCACCTTTGACGTCTTAAAAAAGTGGACTTTCACTCGCCGCACGGAAATCAGTGTTCATAAAAGAAATAGTGTTTGCTGGCACTATTTCCTGACATCGTTCCTAAGTTGCAACTGCGCCATCATATTTGTCTCCTAGTGAGTAGAGATGCGTGTTGCGACTGTGGAGCATTACATATTCAATCCTTTGCGACAAAAAGAATTAAAACTTGACAGACGGTGACCAAAAGAAAAAGCTATACAATCAAATTGGCACAAAATTAGGCGTGAGGGATACGTACGTGAGTTGTCTCTCGTTTGAACGTTGTTTACTTCTTCAGGCCTTTTTTTCGCACTGTGAACTGTTAGCTATTTGATATCACGTAGCAGTGAAATAATTGCTGGCTCTAAAGAAAATTATCCGCGAGTTGTTTTCGAAAAGAGCATGATACCGCCTTTGCGCACCTGTTGTTTTCGCTCCAGTGCCTTACTACTTTCCCGTTCACTGCACCCGCATTTTGCGCTTAATAAAGGCACGTATGAGTGAGCTCCGATTGACCAAAAACACTTACGAGTGGGATGTACCTTTGTATGAGCAAAAATCTGATAGGCTGTAACGTGGAGTGATATCGTATCCGTGAGACTACGGGAGGTTGTAGTCGCGCGTGCACGACAGGCGGCGGCAAATATATGAACGAATCGATCCTTGAATAGGGCGTTTTGTCGTCGGCAAGAAGGTCTATCGCACGTGTAAACTACGCAAAAGTTTAAATGTTCACCCATCGTTCACGTGGCATTATATTGCGTTATAATATCATAAGAGAATACTGCGGAACAACTAGAAGAAAAGTTAAGTTTCGTATCGTGAATAAATTAAGGAGTGAGAAGCACTAAAAATTATGTTGGAGCAAGGTATGCCAGAAACTGGGCGTCTGTTTGTGGCGACGAAGTTTATTAGGATGCTCTAGAATAAAGAAACCGCAATGACTCTTGTATAAGGTAAAAAGAAACTAGAGTTAGAATTCAAAGAACGCCGTGTTGGCGTTCTTTGAATACCAGCTTTAATTGTTCCGACCATGCACGTTTTTCGCAGTGCATGCTCAGAACGATATATACTGGCAGACATAGATATCGAGGGCGTGTCTGATTATGTTTACGTTTTTCTTGCTTTGTTATTCGTTCTTCGGTGTTCCTATCCGGAAATGTCATTATCTGATTGGCTACAAAGCGATACAAGGATGATCGAGACTCGGCACTCTCCGTGTTTCTTAAGGTTTCGCTTCCCTTTATCTTACGTCAAGAAACGAACATGATATGATAGAAAGCGCGTTCATGCACTTTCAACGCGCATTCCACCCAATAAAGATTTTTCTTGGCAGGCGATATGTGGCAGAGTTTTCAGCGTGCGCTGATGACATCTAGGGATCAACCACCGACGTCGCCATAAACGCTTGGCCGCATACATCTGGACTACCATATATATTCTAGGTTCTCGAAATCTATTTTTGGTCTCATCGCACGTGACACGAATCTGCGGGGCATCTAAAAATGCGAGGTATTTTTTATTT